GTTTGGCTGGATCTTCAAGAAGCAAGCCGTGATCTTCTTTCTGACCCTCGGTGCTATCGCCGGGTTGTTGGTCACGGTGAAGTTCGACGAGTTCCAGTCGCGGTTGCCGGCGTTCCACCAGTTCTTTACGGTGTCGAACTTTTTCTATCTCTCGATCACGCTGGCCATTACCAAGGTGTTGCACGAGTTCGGTCACGGACTGTCGTGTAAGCACTTTGGCGGTGAGTGTCACGAGATGGGTGTGATGATTCTCGTGCTCACGCCATGTTTATATTGCAACGTGTCTGACTCGTGGATGCTGCCCAACAAGTGGCATCGCGCGGCGATTGGTGCGGCGGGGATGTACGTGGAAGTCATCATCGCCACGTTTGCGACGTACGTGTGGTGGTTCACCGAGCCGGGGATGCTCAACCACCTGTGCCTGAGCACGATGTTCGTCTGTTCGGTCAGTACGATTTTGTTCAATGGTAACCCGTTGTTGCGGTACGACGGTTACTACATTTTGTCGGACATTGTCGAAATCCCAAACCTGCGGCAAAAGTCGAGCAGCATTCTGAACCGCAAGCTGGGCAAGTGGTGCCTGGGCATCGATCCGCCGGACGATCCGTTTCTGCCCGAGCGGAACCAGATTTTCTTCGCACTCTACACCGTGGCCGCGGCGGCTTATCGCTGGTTTGTGGTGCTGTCGATTGTGATGTTCTTGCACAAGGTGTTCGAACCGTACCGCTTGGAAATCATCGGGCAGATCATCGCCATGTCGGCCTTGTACGGCTTGCTCGTGCAGCCGCTGTGGAAGCTGGGAAAGTATTTGTATGTACCGGGGAGAATGGCCAAAGTGAAAAAGCTCAACCTGCTTGTCACCGTGGGGATTGTGGCCGCAGTGCTTGCGGCGATCGCCTTCATCCCACTGCCGTATCGGGTGGTTTGCACGTTCGAGGTGCAACCCCGCGACGCCACCAGCGTGTATGTCGACTCGCCCGGGGTTTTGCAGACCGTGGCCGTGCAGCCCGGCGACAAGGTCGAAGCTGGCACGATGCTGGCCAAGCTGAGCAACAAAGACATCGAACTGCAACTGGCCCGACTGCAAGCCGAGTTGAACCAGTACGAAGTTGAATTGCGCTCGTTGGAGTTCCAATCGCGGAGCGATCCCACGGCGAGCGATTTGATTTCGACCAAGCAGCAATTGATCAAAGGTGTGAAACAGCAGATTGCCGAGAAGCAGAGCGAACTGGACGACCTGACTTTGCTGGCCAAGGTAACCGGCACGGTGCTTCCTCCGCCTGAGGTGAGCCCTCAACAGTCGGGTGGCGAAGGTCAGTTGCCCACGTGGTCGGGAACCCCCATGGATGAACGCAATCTGGGCTGCCTGCTGACCGAGAGTTCGCTGTTCTGCCAGTTGGGCGACCCCGAGAAGATGGAAGCCGTGTTGGTGATCGATCAGGCGGACATGCTGATGGTTCACGAAGACCAGCATGTGGAGTTGCTGCTGGACGAACTTCCGTTTGAGCCGTTCCAGTCGACGATTACCGATATTTCGCACATGGAATTGAAGGTGAGCCCCCGCAGCCTGACGAACAAGGCCGGCGGTGAGCTGGTTACCGAGACCGACGAGTCGGGCCGGGAACGTCCGCAGCAGCCTTCGTACCAGGCGCGGGCCGACTTGGATGGGCCCCCGGGTGTGTTGCGGCGAGGCCTTCGCGGACGAGCGAAGATCTACGTCGAACCGCTGACGCTGGGCCAACGCATTTGGCGTTACGCAGCCCAAACGTTCAACTTCAAACTCTAACGTCGCACTTTCTGATGGCCTACGACGTTCATCTTGCCGACCGGGTACGGAAGCTGCTGAAGCGGCGGAGGGGCTTTTCGGAGCGGAAGATGTTTGGCGGCATCTGCTTCATGCTGCAGGGCAACATGTGTTGCGGCGTGACGAACACCGATTTGATGTTGCGGCTGGGTGCCGAGCTGGCTCCGGCAGCGCTCGAGCAACCGCACACGCGGCCCATGGATTTCACCGGGCGACCGATGAAGGGTATGGTGTTCGTCGAGCCGGCCGGCTACGAAGACGACGAGGATCTTGCGAGTTGGGTGCGACAGGCGGCCGCGTTTGCATCGTCGTTGCCGGCCAAGTAATCGCTCGATAACAGGAGAGGTTCGCATGGAAACCACTCTGTTCTTGTCGAAGATCGTGGGTCCGGTGTTGCTGGTTCGCGGAATCTCGATTCTTTACGATCGCGAACACTTCAAAGAAATGGTGGCCGGGCTTCCCCGTGAGATCGCCACGGTTTCTTTTTCGCTATTCCCCGTGGCGCTGATGATGGCCGGCATCGCGATTCTGCTGACGCTCGATGACACGTCGAGCCTGGCCTCGCTGATCTTCCTGCTGATGGGCTGGGGGGCGATTATCAAAGCCTCGCTGTTGATGATGTTTCCCAAGCTCATCGTGGCCAAAGCACGTGTGCTGGTTGAGGGCGGGTTTCTCAACGTTGTGCTGGCCACCAGCCTGGCGATGGGGGCGTATCTGACCTGGTTTGGATACTTTGCCGGTACGTGAACGACTACCTGCTTTGTTCTAACGTGACATGCGATGTGCGGTTGTCATGGCCCGTCGCAGTTCCATTCGGGCGGCGTGAGAGCGAGCGTAGTCGAACTGACTGCCGAACATCTGGCATAGAACCAGAAACGGTGGTCCACTGAAGGCGAAAACGCATAGGGTGAACAGGCCGAAGGGGCGGAGCGTCAATAGTACGGCAGTCAGCACGGTAATGAGCAGAACGCTGCGGAGGCTGAAACGCAAACGCGGACGATAGCCCCGTTGAGCGAGGCGGTAGGCGAGGCACGAGAGACTGACGCAGTACATTACGGCCGCGAAGAACATCCAATCGTTGAGAATACCTTGCAGGGTGAGCGGATAGACAGGAGACAGAAGGTGGGTTGTGCCGTAAATCATGGAAACAGCCAACATGACTTGCGAAGCAAGAAGCCCGAAGCGACGGGAAAACAATGCCACCAACAGGGCCACCACCCAAACCCATCCGTTGATGAAGAACGCAGCCAACTGACGAATCGCTTCCGCAGTGCTGTGGAGTGAAACCTGCGGCGGCTGAGGATTCACCGAGATGACAAGGCCGGTGCCCGTACGGATAGTGCGTGACACCAATTCATCATCTTTGAATCCAAGCTCAACTTGTACGCCCAGTTCTGGATGCGTCCAGTGGGCAATCTCCCGGTCGCCATCTGGCTTTAGCGCAAACGGTTCTCCGGCGTGAAGAAGTTCCTGAGCCCGTTGTCTTCCATCGGGTTGCAAACTTGCGTCGTCGAGGAGATCCTTCAACCGGTTCTGCTCGATTATCGATTCCGACTCCAACTGTCGGACCTTGGCGTGCCATTCGGCCTGCTGGAGGCGGTCCGCTTCGTTCTCTCGATTCTTATACCAACCGAACCCGATGAGGACGGTCAGGAGGAGAATCCAGAAAACGAGGCGCCGTTTCATGAGCTTTACACCGTGCAGAGCATTGGTTCGAAGTCGATGAGATCGCCTTGGGCGTCGAACATGATCTCGCGGGGTTCGGTGAGAATCTCGAGGTCGTCGCGGTCGCGGGCTTCTTCGAGGTAGACCGAGGAGCATTCGACTTCGGCCAGGTGCAGGGTGTCGCGGATCCACAGCACCTTGGTGTCTTGCGGTGCTGCCAAGCCGACCGTGGAGAGGGCGGCTTCGAGCGTTTCGCGTTCGCTGTCGTAGTTGACGGGGACCATCGCTCCGGAGGGATGCCCACCGGTGAGGCAGTTGATTTTGGTGATGTGCATGTCGGCCTTTTCGACGACCCTGCGTGCGCAGAACTCGGCGATGCCGAGCCCGGCGGCGTTGCCTTTGGTTTCGGGAGTCAGATCACGAATCATGATCCGCCCGACTTTGGGCCACTCGTCTTCGCTGGCTTTGTGGTCGTTGTATTTACGGCCCACGATGTTGGTATCTAGGCCCGAGCCGCTGATGTTCTTGCCGATTTGGTCGAGGATGAGCAGACCAACACGACGGAACGGGAGCCGCGGCATCCATTGCTTGGCCAGGTTGAGGAGTTCTTTCTCGCGCTCCTCGAACTCCTCGGGCGCGACGGCGGCGATTTTGGCCGTTTGATCGTAGGCGTTTTCCACAATGCCGACGCCGGCCACGATGTTGCATTGGGCGAGCACACGATGGGCCACGCTGCGGACGATTTCGCCGAAGCTGTAGTCGAGAATGGCGCGGTGGTAGATTTTGGCCCCCTCGTGTTTTCCCAGCCCGATGAGCATCATCTTCATCAGGCCGCTTTCGATATCGCCGACAAAGTTGGTGTGCGGCTTGATGCGTCCGCAGACCACGACGTGATCGGCCTCGTAGGCGAAGCGATCGAAGTGGACGGGGAAGCCTTCGTCGGTCTCGCAGATGATGACCGTTTCCATGGTGGCCCGAATTGGGCAGCCGAGAAACTCCTCGGTCATGCCGTAGCCCTCGACGATCTTGCGTTGCCCTTCGGCGGTGCCGCCGCCGTGGCTTCCCATGGCGGGCACAATGAACGGTTTCGCGCCGAGGCTTTTGAGGTGCTCGACGATGGCCTTCACCACGAGATGGATGTTCATGATGCCGCGGCTGCCAGCGGTGATGGCAACCGATTCGCCGGGCTTGATCCGCTGGGCCAGGTCCAGCTTTGCTAGCTGTGCGGTGGTTTCACCTTCGATGTCTTCCACGCGCGGATTCTCGAAGTGCTGGCGAACACGAAACATGGTGGGCAACGCGGACATAGATCGTCTCTCGGCAGGGATGGTCGAACGTAAGACCCTAATTCTAGCGGGCTTGGGGGCGATGGTCGAATGCCGAAAGCATGATTTCGCTCGTCTTGTCAGCACGCCTGAATCGGCCTAGGTCTGCCCGGTGCCGGCACTTACAATGTGCGGCCCGTTGCTGCAGCCTGTGAGGGTGATGGCGGCGGCTGACGTCAAGGAAGACCAGCATTCGAGGCAGAGCCATGGCTACCGTTTCGCGCGAGTCGCGACGCCGCGTGCGTCGCAAGTATATCGACGGCGAAGGCAACGAATACGAGGTACCTCGTCGCTCTGGCGGTCGCAAGCTGCTGGTGGCCGCCGTGCTCGGTGTGGGGTTGCTGTGGCTGGCTCCGACCATCGTGGCGAAAACCCGACTGCTGGGGCTGGTGGTGAACGCCGACACGTTCAATGTCGACGGCACCGTTGAAGTTCGCTCGGCATCGTTGGGCTGGTTCTCGCCCATCCGGTTGTGGGACGTGGAAGTTCGCGACCCTGAGGGAGGGCTGTTCGTTCGTGTGCCGAAGGTGGTGGGCGAGCGTTCGCTGCTGAAGATCCTGTTCAACCGTAGCGACTGGGGCAACTTGCGTTTTGAAGAGCCCACCATGCGATTGGTGGTCGATGCGAAGGGCAGCAATGCCGAACGTGTGATGGCCCCTTGGTTGAATTCCGACGAAGCTTCGACGCTTGATGCGACGGCCGTGAACCTGAAGATCAGCGATGCGCAGGCCACCGTGCTGGACGAGGTGCGGAATCAGAGCTGGCGGCTGGAGGATGTGCAGTTCTCGGCCGATGTGCCTCCGCACCTGTCGCAAGATGTGAAGGTGACCATGGCGGCCAACGTCGATGCTCCCACCGAACGTGGGCGGATCGAAATGACGGCCGACGTGCGATGGAACGAAATCGACCATGCCGAGCCGGCCAGCAGCGGGAAGGTGTCGCTGGTGGCCAAAGGGCTGCCGCTGGAGATGGCTTCTTGGATTGCCGAACGGGTTTCGCCCGGCACTGAAGTGGCTGGAATCGCCAGCTCGACGCTGCACTGCGAGTGGACGCCCCAGGGTGTGGGCGGGCAGCCGACGACCAAGATCGAAGGCAATGTGCATGCCGATGATCTTGTGGTGGCTGGGCCCTGGCTGGGGAACGATCGACTGCAACTGGCCAGTCTCGAAGTGCCATGCCGCATCTCGCAAGATGGATCGCAAGTGCAGGTCTCGCAGCTCGACATGAATTGCGATGTGGGCCAGGTGAACTATCAAGGCACCATCGACACGGCCGACGGATTGCTGGCTTCGTTGGGGAGCGAAGACTACAAACTCGACGGCAAGCTGGATCTGGCTCGCCTGTCGCAGATGTTGCCCGAGACGTTACGGGTGCGCGAGGGAACCAAGATCACCCAGGGCGATGTGACTATTCAACTGGTGAGTGCGCAGAAGAGCGAAACCGGCAAGTGGACGGGACGCATCGAGACGAGCCCTTTGACAGCCGTGAGCGATGGGAAACAGATCACCTGGGATGATCCGCTGTTGGTCAAGTTTGATGCCCGACAGGGCGACAAGGGTTTGCTGGTCGATGAGCTGCGTTGCGAGTCGAGCTTCCTGGAGTTGGAAGCCGCGGGCGAGCCGAATTACTTCTCGGTGGCGGCGAACTACAACCTGGAGAAACTTTCCGACGAGTTGCGGCAGTTTTTTGATCTTCGCGACGTGAAGCTTTCAGGCGACGGTTGGTCGTATGTGAATTGGCAACGTAATGGCGACGGAACATTTGAAGTCGATGGGGAAACGCAGGTTCGGGAACTGGTGGTCGAGTTCCCCGGCCATCTCCCCTTGAAAGAAGCCAACCTGATTGCGTTGGTCAATTCGACCGGTCGGGCGAAGTCGATCAATGAGTTCACGCAACTCGCCACCGCCTCGATCAAAGCCGACAGTGGCTTGGATCACCTGGCGGTGAAGCTGACTGGGCCGGTGGACGATCCTCGCAATGCCGAACAGTGGCCACTGGCGGTGGAAGCCTGGGGGCAACTGACCAACTGGGTTCCGCGTATCGAACCGGTTGTGGGTTCGCTGGAAGGCTGGAATGTGTCGGGACAAGGTAAGGTGCAGGCCACTGCGGTGCTGGCCAGCGATCGGGTGCAGGTGGCTTCTTCTGACTTGGCGGTTAACAACTTGCACCTTAACGCTCACGGGGTGGTGATCGACGAGCCGCAACTCACGGCTTCGGCCGCGGGCGATGCGAATCGCGATGGGGAGATTCACCTGAATGGGCTCACGCTGAACAGCGCGACGCTTTCGCTTAATTCCAAGAACCTGGTAGCGGTTGTCGGTGAAAAGGGTGTCTCGCAACTCAGCGGCGACCTGGCCTATCGGGGCGACTTGCGACTGTTGCAAAACTGGCTGAGCGATCCGGCCTCGCCGTCGAGTTGGAACACCGGCGGCACGGTCAACGGAACGGTGAACATCCAGCGGAGCGGTTCGACCACCGACGTGGTGTGGGCTTCGCACATCGTGAACTTAGTCGCTCATCAAGTGGGCGGCGACCTGTGGCATCAACAGAACGTGCAGTGCACCGGAAAGTGTGCTCTGGACGAAACCTCCGACCGGCTGGCGATTGACAGCCTGACTCTGGCTTGCGACGCGTTGACCTGCAACGCCAACGGGTCGATCGACCAACTCGGCGGTCCGCGAAACATGACGCTGAAGGGCAATGTCGACTACGACATGGCGAAGGTGGCCGTGTTGCTACGACCTTACGTGGGCGATCACGTGCAACTGGTTGGCAAGGAGAAGCAAAGCTTTTCGCTGAGCGGACCGTTAACGACTCCTGAGAATTCTCCACCCGGCACGTTGGAATCGACTTTGGTGGGCCGGTTGGAGGGTGCGACGACCGTGGGTTGGGATAGCGGCAATCTGTACGGTTTCCAACTCGGCAAAGGAAACATGAACGCCCAACTCGGACGTGGTCGGCTGGCGGTTTCGGCCCTCGATCTTCCGCTGAGTGGTGGACGACTGAATGCGAATCCGCTGTTCGTGCTGGCTCCTGGTACGGCCGAGATGTACTTGGATCCCGGTCCGTTGCTGACGCGGGTGAACATTAGTCCGGAGATGTGCCGCAACTCGTTGATGTACATCGCCCCGGTGTTTGCGAATGTGGCGCAGGCCCAGGGCAGTTTCTCGATCGACATGAGCGGTTGTCGTGTTCCCTTGGCCACCCCGGCCCAGGGCGACCTGGCAGGGCAGTTCACGATCCACGATGTTCAGATTACTGGTGGACCGTTGATTCAAGAGCTGGGCGTTCTGCTGCAACGCCCCAGTGCGGCCAGCTTGGCGCGGGAGTCGAAGGTTTCGTTCCGGATGGTGGGTGGGCGGATCTACCATCGCGACCTGGAGTTGGTATTCCCTGAGCTGACGATTCGCACCTATGGATCGGTCGGGCTCGATCACTCGCTGGCCCTGATGGCCGAGATGCCGGTTCCGCCCAAGTGGATTGGGAACAACACGCTGGGAGCGGCACTTCAGAACCAAATCATTCAGCTCCCGATCGGGGGAACGCTGGAACAACCGAAGATCAACCAGCAAGCCTTGCAACAGGCCAGTGCTCAATTCATTCGCAATACGGCATCGAGTGCCATCCGGAATGAGTTGAACAACCAACTCGATCGTCTGCTGCGGGGCAATCAGTAGGTGGCACTGATGGCACTTATGGTTCAAGGACTCCCCTTTTGGGTGAGAGCGACCCGAGGAACCAACCTTTGCGGAGTCCAACAGTGATGCTCTGTCGCTGGAAGGGCGATAATAGTGAAGTCCACATTAACTGTGCGTTGCCAGTGGATCGTTCAGTGAATTTGTGCACGATGCGCTGGGATGTTTGAAAAGCGGGTCGAGTTTGGTGCGCGATGTCGCACCCCCCCGGCATTCATCTTGACCTCCTATGCAGGAAATCTTAATGTTCGCCACCCATCTGGATCTCATCCAACATGGGTTCCCTTCGATGACTGTCCAGCAAGCCCTGTGTTTGGTGGATGACCCTGACAACCGCTAGCGGTCGCATGCGCGCAGCCCGATCAGGATGATCGGCCCCGCGGATGTGTATGAAACATTTCTGGAATGGAATCCTCTCATGGCTAATGCAGCTCGGGATAACGACTCTAACGCATCGGTGGTTAAGCTCTCGTTCGAGACTGAATCGGTTCCTTTCTTCGACCTGGCCCGCCAATCGAGACCGTTGCGGGAAAAGATCGTGAAGGCACTGGCCCGCGTGTGCGACTCGGGACAGTTTGTTCTTGGTCCCGAGTGTGTTCGTCTGGAAGAGTCGTTGGCCGAATACTGCGGTGTAAAACACGCCGTGGCTTGTGCCTCGGGGAGCGATGCCCTGTTGTTGGCGTTGATGGCTTGTGGGATTGAGCCGGCCGACGAAGTGCTGATGCCGAGCTATACGTTCTTTGCCACTGCCGGTGCGGTGTGGCGCTTGGGGGCACGTCCGGTGTTTGTCGACATCGACCCCGTGACGTACTGCATGGACCCGAAGATTGTCGAGTCGCACATCACGGCTCGCACGCGTGCGATCATTCCGGTGCACTTGTACGGACAATGCGCCGACATGGATGCCCTGAACAGCATCGCGCGTCAGCACAACCTGGCGATGATCGAAGACGCGGCGCAAGCCATTGGCAGCGAGTACGACGGAAAACGAGCGGGCAACCTGGGCGACGTTGGTTGCTTTAGCTTCTATCCCACGAAGAACTTGGGAGGCTTCGGCGATGGTGGCTTCATGACCACCAACGATGATGAAATCGCCAAGCGTCTGAAGATGCTTCGCGTGCATGGTGAGACTAAGCAATATCACCACCAGATCGTCGGCTTCAACAGCCGGCTGGATGCCTTCCAGGCTGCGGTGTTGAATTCGAAGTTGCCGCACTTGGAACATTGGATCACTCGTCGACAGGCCAATGCCCGGTACTACGACCGGTTGTTCCACGAGCACGGGCTGCAAGACGTGATTAGTTTGCCGCCGGTGGCCGAGAAGCGACGTCACGTGTGGAACCAGTACGTGGTGCGCATCCCCGGCGGTCAACGCGACTCGCTGCGGGAGTACCTTGCTGAGCAGAACGTGGGAACCGCGATTTACTACCCAGTTCCGATGCACGAACAACCGTGCTTCGCCACGTTGGGTTACCAACTGGGACAGTTGCCGGAAACCGAAGCGGCGGCTCGCGAAACGCTGGCCTTGCCGATCTTCCCCGAGCTAACGGCCCACGAACAACAACGGGTGGTTTCGCAGATTGCCGCTTTCTACGGCATCGAGCAACGCCCCACGGGCGGACACGCGATTCGTCCGCCGAAGTTCCTCACCAAGCGAACCAGCACCCAAGACAGCGAAGTGCGCGGGCTCCGCGACTAGATCTGTTTTGGGGAGATACGTTGGTGAAGTCCGGGCTGCCTACTTCTTGAGTGGCAGCTCGGCCTGACGCTGGCTGGGACGGCAGACGGCCAGCATGCCCAAGCCCACCAGCGAGATCACCATCGCATACGGCACAACCCAAGACTTGGTTGCTTCCTCTTCATCTGACTTTCCTGCCTGGGCGAAGACCACGCCCACGTTGATGAAGAGGTGTACTCCGGTGGCCATGGCAGCAAAGGCCAGGGGGCGAAGTCGAGCGACGATCGGGCGGCTGGTCTGGGCGAACTTCGAACGTAAGCGAGGGATCATCTTCGACTTCCGAGGGTATGGTGCGGCGAACCTCCAGGGGCTCGCCGAGGTCTATTTTCATCGACCCCTCATTCTAACCCACCAGCTGCGACGAGCGAAGCCTCGCCCACGATGGCTTGCCCATGGGCCCGATGGGCTACTATGATCGTGCCTTATGCTCCCGAGTTGCGGCGGAACGGCCGCCAGGATGAATGGTTCTGTGACCGTTCTGAGGATGAACGTTTCGCAGCCGGGAACATCGATGTTTGACGGTAATTCACCCCCTTACTGGGGGCGCTGCGCAACAGCGAAGTAAGGAGGCATTCCGGTTTCCCCTCGTTTCTTGCGCACTTTGCGAGGCCCGCGATGACACCCGACCAGATCTTCGCCACCGGGGTCGTCGTCTCCGTGTTCGTGATGCTGGCGGCGACTCGTTTAGGGCCCGACCTGGTGTTACTCGCCGGGTTGACCGTGCTGTTGATCTCGGGAGTTCTCCCACCGGCCAGGGCACTGGCGGGGCTGTCGAACGAGGGCATCGTAGCCATTGGGGCACTTTATGTGGTGGCCGCAGGGATCCGCGAGACGGGCGGGATCCACTGGATTGCCAGCTTCATCTTGGGACGACCCAAGTCGCCACGCATGGCGATCGCCCGACTGACCGGGCCAGTGGCGGTGATGAGTGCGTTCCTGAACAACACTCCGCTGGTGGCGATGATGATCCCGGCGGTGAACGATTGGGCCCGTCGACATCAGCTTAGCGTTTCGCATCTGTTGATGCCGTTGAGCTTCGCCGCGATCCTGGGCGGCACGTGCACCTTGATCGGAACGAGCACGAACCTGATTGTCGACGACTTGCTGGCGGCCAGCAGCGAGCATCAGCGACTTGGGCTGTTCGAGATTTCGTGGGTGGGTATTCCAGCCACGGTGGCGGGCTGTGTGTATTTGATCTTCTTGGCCCCGAAACTGATTCCCGCGCGACGTCCGGCGCGTAGTGAGTTTGAGAACCCACGCGAGTACAGCGTGGAGATGTTGGTCGAACCCGAGAGCCCTTTGGTTGGCAAGACGATTGAAAAGGCCGGCCTGCGTCACTTGCCGGGGACGTTCTTGGCCGAAATCGACCGCGATGGGATGGTGCTGCCGGCGGTGGGCCCCGAAGTGGAGCTTCATGCGGGCGACCGATTGGTGTTTGTGGGGGTGGTCGAGTCGGTGATCGATCTGCAGAAGATCCGCGGATTGATTCCGGCCACGAACCAGGTGTTCAAGCTTGAATCGCCCCGGGCTACTCGGTGCATGATCGAGGCAGTTGTTTCGAACATGGGCCCGGTAGTGGGCAAGACGATTCGCGACGCGCGGTTTCGTTCGATTTACAAAGCCGTGGTGGTGGCCGTAGCGCGGAACGGGCAGCGCATCGACAAGAAGATTGGTGATATCGTACTGCAGCCGGGCGATACGTTGTTGCTGGAGGCGCACCCTTCGTTCGTCGATGAACAGCGGAACAGCCGCGACTTCCTGCTGGTGAGTCGACTGGAAGATTCGAACCCTCCGCAGCACGATCGGGCCTTGGTCGCGTTTGCCATTTTGTTGGGTATGGTGCTGGTGAAGGTGATCTTCGGCATCTCGATATTAAAGGTGGCGTTGGTGGCCGCCGGCATGATGATCATCACCGGTTGCTGCTCGCCTACGGTTGCCAGGAGGAGCATCGACTGGCAAGTGCTGCTGGCGATTGCGGCCGCAGTGGGTATAGGCGGGGCGATGGATTTGACGGGGGCCGCGGCGGTGATTGCCGGGGTGCCCGTGTGGCTGGCCCAGGGTAATCCGTGGGTGACTTTGGCCGTGGTTTATTTCGTGACGATGGTGGCCACCGAGTTCATCACCAATGTGGCGGCGGCGGCTTTGATGTTTCCATTGGCCATGAGCGCGGCGGCCGGATTGGATGTGAACCACATGCCATTTGTGATCGCCGTGATGATGGCGGCCTCGGCGAGCTTTTCGACCCCAATTGGCTATCAGACCAACCTGATGGTGTACGGCCCCGGTGGTTATCGCTTTACCGACTATCTTCGCGTCGGGCTGCCGCTTGGTGTGCTGGTGTGGGTGATCACCGTGGTGCTCGCCCCCATGGTGTGGCCATTTAATTCTTGATCGATCCCGCCACAATAGTGTTTTGTTGCTGACACTCGTGAAAAGGCCCCGTGCTTGTGATTATTACTTATATTCTGTTCGCCGTGGGGTTCTTCTTGTTGATCAAGGGAGCCGACATCCTGGTCGACGGGGCTTCGTCGATTGCGGCCCACATGCGAATTTCGAGCCTAGTCATTGGGCTGACCATCGTGGCCTTTGGTACTTCGCTGCCCGAGCTGGTGGTGAACCTGTATGCCAGCTACGAGGGCAATGCAGATCTGGCGATTGCCAACGTGCTGGGAAGCAACATCGCGAATATTCTGTTGATCATTGGTGTAGCGGCGATGATCTGCCCGTTGCCGATTCAGGAGAATACTTCACGGCACGAGATTCCGCTGTCTATCTTGGCGGTGATTGTGTTGAGCTTGATGGCCAACGACTCGCGTTGGCTGGGGCACGAGGTGTCGGAGCTGACTCGCAGCGACGGGCTGGTGTTGATGTGCTTTCTGGCCGTGTTCATGCACTACACGATCAGCATCATTCGTTCGCAGCGGGAAATTCATATCCCGGTGATCAGCACCCAGTCGTGGAAGGTCTCCAGCGGGAAGGTTCTTCTGGGGCTGGTCGGGCTGACCCTGGGTGGTAAGTGGATTGTCGAAGGGGCGATTGCCTTGGCGATCACGCTGGGGATGAGTGAAACCTTGGTCGGTTTGACGATTGTAGCCGTGGGCACTTCGTTGCCCGAGTTGGCCACTTCGGTGGCAGCCGCCCGCAGACGTGAGGCGGGCATGGCCATCGGGAATGTGATCGGATCGAACATCTTCAACATCTTCTGGATCTTGGGGCTCAGCTCGGTCGTGAACCCGTTGCCGTTCGATTTGGCCAACGAACCGGCCATTCTCGCGACTTTGGGGGCGAGCCTGTTATTGCAGCTCTTCGTTTTCACGGGCAATCGTCGCGTGGTCGATCGATGGGAAGGCGTGCTGTTAATCACATGCTACGTGGCGTTTATGGGCTACTCGATTTACGCCAACTATGCCAACAATGAGCCACCGATCGTCGAGACGGCCGTTCGCGCGGTTGCGTCACCGTAAGCGCAGCCGAAGCCCTGGCTTTGCGATAACAACACCGATTGCTACACGCTGCGGAAGAACTTCGACAGCGTTTCTTTGCCCGGGGGTTGCGTGAGCAGCGAGACGACGACTAGGGCGACGGTTGAAGCGGTGATCATCGAAGCCACCGGCATCATGCCTAGGAAGGTGTAGTCGGCGTTCATGGCGAAGTCGGACTGCTGGAACAAGTAGAACCAGCTTCCAGCGGCCACCAGCACCGAGGCATACGCGCCGGCTTTCGTGAGGCGTTTCCAATACACAGCGGCCACGGCCAGCGGGAACAAACTCGAGAATCCGCTGAAACACCACACGCCGAGCGTAAACACGCGCGGCTGTTCGGCCAGGCTGAGCAGGAACGTTACGGCCACGATAGCCACCACGAATACGCGGGCGATGAGCACGATTTGCTTGTCTGAGAAGCGGTCTTTGCCTGCGTAGTGCACGACGATGTCGTTGGTGAACATCGAGCCGATGCAGAGGAACTGGCTATCGAGCGACGACATGATGGCCGCCAGCACGCCAGCGGTTAGCAGACCGCCCAACGTATCGCCGGCCACTTTCTTTACCAGGAAAGAGAGCACCTGGTTCGGGCGGATCGTTTCGGGGATGGCCGCTAGTTCGCTGGTGGCCCAAATCCCCACCAAGACGCACGGCGCCCAAACGATCATGATGAAAATAGGGTGAGCGACGATCGGCAGCTTGAAGCTGCTGGCGCTCTTCGCGGTGAGCCAATGCTGGAATAGGTGGGGGAACATGCCCACCGACAACGGCACGAACATATAGGTCAAGAACGTCAGTTTGGTCATGCGTCCTTCGCGGATGAGCATCGATTCGCTCACCGACTTACTGGCCACGCGGGCGTTCTCGATGAACGTATCTTTGCCGCCCAAGTCGTTGGCGATGACGTAGAAGGTGATGACGCCCATCACCATGAAGACGATGGTTTGAAACGCGTTAGCCCAGGCCGTGCCTCGCATCCCGCCGAAGAACACATACAGCAGCACGACGAACGAGATGACCAGTTTGGCCAGCCATCCGGGCACGCCATAACCGTAGGCTTCGAACCAACCGTATTCGACGAATGCTCCTTTGGTAACGCCGTTAATCACGCCGCCGGCGCCGATGACGCCGATGAGCAAGTAGGGAATGATCAGAATGACCAAGATCGGAAACAGCACGACGCCGATCTTGTCGCTGTCGAGGCGATCGCGAAAGAACTGAATCTGGGTGCGGTATCCGTGACGTTTGCCAAACGACCACAGCCGTATGCCGAGCAAGAAGAAGCAGAGCGAGTGGATAATTCCACTGGAGGAGGCCAGCAGCCCGTACACGCCGGCGCCTTCTTCGTAGGCTTCGCCGGTGGAACCGATGAGCGCGAAGGCGGTCATCGTGGTGCCGAACAGCGACATCAACAGCAGGAACGGGCCAATCGAGTGGCTGGCCAACATATAGTCGGCACTCGTCCCGCGAAACAAGCGA